TTCTGCTGAAGATTATCCAAAAACGATTGGAACAGCACAACAGAGAACTGCCTGACGTGCAGGCTGGATTTAGAAGAGGCTGTGGCACTAGGGATATTATAGCTAATATCAGATGCATCTTGGTTGAAAGCAGCGAGTACCAGAGGAATGTCTATATGTGTTTCATTGACTACGCAAAGGCATTTGACTGTGAATCACAGCAAACTGTGCCTAACTCTGAGAGGAACAGTAATTGCAGAACACTTAATTGTGCTTATGTGAAACCTATAGTTAGACCAGGAGGCAATCGTCAGAACAGAGCAAGGAACCACTGCATGGTTCAAAATTGGGAAGGGTGGGCGTCAAGGATGTGTCTGTCCTCTCTCTCCATATCTTTTCAGTCTATATGTGGAACAGATTATCTGGGAGGCTGGGTTCTATGAGGAGAAACGTGGCATCAAGACTGGAGAAAGACTCATCAACAATCTTTGTTATGCAGATGACACAACCCTGCTTCCTGAAACTGAGGAGGACCTGAAGCGCTTGCTGCAGAAGGTCAAGGACTGCAGCCTCCTATATGGATTGAAGCTCAACATCAAGAAAACAAAGATTCTCACCACTGGACCAACTGGCAGCATCACTATGGATTGTGAAGAGAATGAGATAGTTAATAGTTTGTTTACTTGGCTCCAAAAACACTCTTGGTAACAGTAGCTGGGAAATTAAGAGACAAATTGCATTGGGCAAGTCAGCTGTGAGGGACCACTCAAGAGTAATGTAGAGCAACGACATCAGGCTGGAGACTAAGGTGTGCCTGATCACGGCTACAGTCTTCTCAATTACATGCTATGCATCAGAGTTGGACAGTGAATAGGGATGACAGAAAGAGAATTGATGCCTTTGAGCTGTGGTGCTGGAGAAGAGTATTGAATATACCATGGACTGCTAGGCGAACAAACAGGTTTGTCCTGGAAAAGGTGAAGCTGGAATGCTCCTTGGAGTCAAGGATTCTGAAGCTTCGTCTGACATACTTTGGGCATGTTGCAAGGAGGAACTGGTCCTTGGAGAGGGACATCATGTTTGGCAGAGTGGAGGGGCGGCGAAGGAGAGGAAGACCTTCGATGAGATGGATCGATTCTGTGACTGGAGTAGTGGGAATAAGTATGTTTGGGATGGCTAGGTTGGTACAGGATAGAATGGTGTTTAGAACTCTTGTACATAGGGTCGCTATGAGTCGCATACAACTTGATGGCATATAACAACAACAACGTTAGATGGATCTTGGCTGAAAGCAGAGAGTACCAGAGGAATGTCTATCTGTGTTTCATTGACTATGCAAAGGCATTTGACTGCGTGAATCACAACAAACTGTGCCTAACTCTGAGAAGAATAGGAATCCAAGAACACTTGACTGTGCTCATGAGAAAACCTATACTTGGACCAGAAGGCAGTACTCAGAACAGAGCAAGGAAACTTTGCATGGTTCAAAATCAGGAAAGGTATACAGGGATGCATCCTATCTCTATACCTTTCAATCTATATGTGGAACAGATCATCCAAGTGGCTGGGATCTATGAGGAGAAGCGTGGCGTTAGGATTGGTGGATGATCTATCAACAATCTGCGTTATGCAGATGACACAACCCTGCTTGCTGAAACTGAGGAGGTCCTGAGGCGTTTGTTGCAAAAGGTCAAGGACTACAGCCTTTAATATGGAACATCAAGAAAACACAGATTCTCACCATTAGGCCAATAGACAATATCATGATTAATGGTGAAGAGATTAAAATGATTAACACCTTCAGTTTGCTTGGGCCAACACTCTTGGTACCAGCAGCCAGGAAATCAAAAGACAAATTGCATTGGGAAAGGCAGCTGTCAGGGACCTCTCCAGAGTACTGAAAAGCAATGATGTCAGTCTGAAGACTAAGGTGTGCCTGATCCAAGACATGGTCTTCACAATTACTTGCTATGCATCAGAGAGTTAGACAATGACTAAGGATGACAAAAGGAGAATTGATGCCTTTGAGTTTGGTTCTGGAGAAGAGTATTGGATATACCATGGACTGCTAGGAGAACAAACAAGTTTATCCAGGAGAGACTGAAACCAGGCAGCTCCTTGGAGGCAAAGATTTTAAGGCTCCGTATGACACACTTTGGGCATGCTGACAGGAGGGATCAGTCCTTGGAGAAGGACATCATGTTTGTAAGGGTGAAGGGACAGCCAGACAAAAGAGGACAACCCTAGATGAGATGGACTCAGTGATTGGGGTAGTGGGAGTAGATGTGTCAAAGACAATAAGGCTGGTTCAAGACAGAGCAGGGTTCAGAGCTGTTGTCCATAGGGTTGCTATGAGTTGCAAACTTGATGGCATATAACAATGATGTAATAGTTTATCAACAACTGAAGATACTGCTACAAATTTTGCCTCCAAATTGAAAACTGGGAAGTCACTGGAATTTAGAAAAGAATGATGGCTTTTAGAGTTCTGGTGTATACATTAAGAATTTTATATAGACTGCTCTTGTCTGTACTGACATTTTAAATATCACTAATGGAAAGAGTTGTTATGTGTCACTGAGTCGTTTGCAACTCATAGCAACCCTATGTCCAACAGCTTTGAACCCTGCTTTATCCTGTACCAAACTTAATGTCCCTGACATGCCTACCCCCATTACCCCAGTCACTGAGTCAATCCATCTCATCAAGGGTCTTCCTTTCTTGTGTTGTCCCTCTCTAAGGACTGGTCCCTCCTTACAACATGCCCAGAGTATGTCAGATGAAGCCTCAGAATCCCTGCGTCTATAGAGCTGCCTGGTTGTTCTCCTAGCAGTACACAGTGTAATCAATACTCTTCTCTAGCACTATAGCTCAAAGGCATCAATTTTTCTATCATCCCTAATCATTGTCCAGCCTTCAGATGCATAGCAATTGTGAAGACCATGGCCTGGATCAAGTGCACCTTAGTCTCCAGACTGACATAGTTGCTTCATTGTGGAGAGGTCCTTGACAGCAGACTTTCCCAATGCAATTTGTTTTTTGATTTCCTGGCTGCTGGTATCAAGAGTGTTGATTGTGGAGCCAAGCAAACTGAATGCAAAACGAGATGTAATCTATCATAGACATGCGAGGCAAATAAGAACCTGAGGCTTTGAGAAACTTCCTGGTTGTTGACAATGCATAAAGTTCCCACTTTCATGCTGTGACACCTCACAGACCTCACTTGGCATGTCTGTTTGTACCATTTTTGAGTGTAACAAAGCAGGAGCTTTAAGTGTGGTGTATCTTTGTGAATTCTGTGAGTCATTTCAGCAAGTTAATAGACCCATGGGGCAGTAAGAGTGGGCAGGAGCTGGTGTCTGCCTGTTGGGCAATCTAAAAGGCATCATAATGTGTGACCTCTAACGTAGCTCAATGTGGTTAGGATCTCAGAAATGTTGCACAGGCTGCTTGGTCTGAAAAATGGTATTCATCTAACTTGTAACTTCTGACCTCAGCTCCAGGTGCCTAAGGTTGGAAGAGGGATTATAACATAGGAATGGCTGGTGACAAAGATGAAGAAGTAGGAAGGTGATAACTGGATTCATTTCCACATTTTGGGATTTGGATTCTTGCTGATTCATTCCATGAAATTAGCAAGGAAGGTCGGACTTGCCCATTGTGCCCTTTCCTTAGTACAGATCCCAAGTGTTATCTTTACAAGGCATAGATTTAGGTTATAGGAGCTTTTCCTTCTATCTTCTAAAATTCCAGTTATAGCATAATTCCAATAGCTTCCCATTGCTTATATAGAAATAGAGAAACATCAGGAACCAAGTTTCCTTATTCTCCTTAGAAAATTCAGTGGTTTTCGGAAAAGGAAAACTTCTCTAAGATGGGCTTCAAGAACTATTACAAAACAAGATTGTGTTGATATGATGAAAAGTCCACTTAATAAGCCTCACAATTCAATGTTCAGGTAAAGACAGCTATTCTACTTTCTAAGTGTCAGGAGGGCTGTTTCTGAAAAAGCTTCTGCACTGAAGTGCTTACAAGTACCATAGTGGAAAAGAAACTTTGTCTATAGACGCACATAATTTGCTAGGCGGCGAATCCCACCAGGAAAGCGCTCAGGGTCTGCCTGAAGTTTGCCTTTTGAATCCCTTGTGGCAGCCATCCAACAGTCATCAATGCAGAGGTACTCATAACCTGCATCCTTCCAGCCATCTGATACCATGAGATCGGCCATTTGCATAAAGAGCTGCTCACTGAAAGACAAAGTCCAAGAATCATTACAATTTATTCAACACCTGGGTGACAGGTACATTGGGGTTTTACATTTTTAATCCAGTAATTATGTAGTAGTGATCACTATTAAATACAAGATAAAACATTTATTTTTTCACTGAGTCTTTCTTCTTCTCCCCCAAGATCTCCTTAGAACTTGGCAGGGTGGGGGGGTGGGGAATCTCAAATAATGTTTACTTGTCCAATTAACATGCTGTTATGTACTACCAAGTAAGAACCAACTCATAGCTGACCCTCCAGTGGTATTTAGAGGCTGTAAGTCACACAGAAGGAGACTGCCCATCTTTCTCCCTCAGAGCAGCTAGTGGATTCAAATCACCTGCCTTTGGGTTGGTGGTGTAATTCTTTACTTATTAGGCCATCAGAGAACAAGAATGAATGATAACATTTAAAGGCTATTAGAACTAAGACACCAGCTTAGTGAGATGAACAATTACAAGGTTAACATCCTTAATGCTTCAGTACATTAACAAACTCTTTTGGAGCAAAAGATTTTATTCACTAGAGTCACAGCAAAACCTAAAATACCAGAAATAAACTTACGATATGTGCAAGACCCATATGACTCCAAATGATGCTTGACATTCACTTGACTAAATGGATTATATTGGTTTTAGATAAGAAAACGCACTATTAGAAAGAAGCTAATTCTCCTGGAAAACTTCTATACATTTAACAAAACTCTGAATAAATAAAAAAGCATTTCATAAGGAACTTGAAACAATTATTAAAAAACTTAAACTAAGAGCTTAAATGAGTGAACATGCTTGGGAAGGATAAATAAAGCTAGTGTAGTACCAATAAAGCTAGAATACATAGATCAATGGAATTAAAGAATTACTTCTAGTCATCTGCTCTTATGGAATTTAGTATATATTAAATGTGAAATTTATTACAGGTTGTTGTTGTTGTTATGTGCCGTCGAGTCGTTTGCGACTCATTGCGACCCTATGCACAACAGCCCTAAATCCTGCTCTATCCTGCGCGAACCGCACTGCCTCTGACACACCCATCCCGATTACCCCAGTCACCGAATCAATCCATCTCATAGAGGGTCTTCCCCTCCTGCGCTGTCCCTCCACCCTCCCAAGCATGATGTCCCTCTCCAAGGACCCGTCCCTCCTGGCAACATGTCCAAAGCATGTCAGACGAAGCCCCAGAATCCTTGCCTCCAAGGAGTAGCTTGGTTTAATCCTCTCCAAGATGAATCTGTTTGTTTTCCTGGCAGTCCATGGTACATTCAGTACTTTATTATAGGAGAATAAAAATACTAGTAAGAAATAGAAATAGAAATATATAAATATACTAGTGAGAAATATAAATATAAAATATCTAGAAAGTTTCTGATTAGTAAAAATGTTTTCCATAATCTTGAATTGCTCTGAGTTAGAATGAATTTATCTACAGTGGGTGTAGTTTTTCGGTTTGCATTAACCTAAAAGTTGTCCACAAAAAGTTGCCTTAACTTAAAAGTTGGTAATAAAGAAGTTCAAGCAGCAATTAATGCACTGGGGAAAAATAAGGCCCCAAGAGTCTATGGGATACCAAAAGACATGTTTCAAATGACAGATACAGCTCTGGACATGTTCACCAGTCTATGCTAGGAACTTTGGAGGACAGCTGCCTGGCCAATTGACTGGAAGAGGTCTATGTTTGTTCCATTCCCAAGAAAGGTGATCCAAAAAGAAAAAATAAAATAAAATAAATAAATAAAATTAAAAAAAAGAAAGGTGATCCAACAGAATGTGGAAATTACCAAACAATGTATCATTAATGTTACATGCAAGCAAAATATTGCTGAAGATCATCCAAAAATGGTGAGAACAGTATATTAACAGAGAATTGCCAGAAGTTCAAACTGGGTTTAGAAGAGGCCATGGCATCAGTGATATCACTGCTGATGTCAGATAGTTCCTAGCTGAAAACAAAGTATCAGAAGAATGTCTATTTGTATTTTATTGCTATACAAAGTGTGGATTGTAACAAACTATAGCTAACACTGGGAACAATGGGAATCCCAGAACACTCAATCCTGCTCATGTGAAACATATACCTAGACCAAGAAACTGTTATCTGAACAGAGCAAGAGAACACTGCATAGTTGAAAATTAAGAAGAGTGTGCATCAGGGTTGTGTTCTTTCTCCATAATCTCAGATGATTATACTGAACAAATCCTCTGAGAAGCTGGATACTATGAAGAACAATGTGGCATCAGAGAGTCATTAGCAACCTGTGTTAGGCAGATGACACAACCTTGCTTGCTGAAGTGAGGAAGATTTGAAGTGCTTGCTGCAGAAGATCAAAGACTCCAACCTCAGTTTAGATCTCAACATCAAGAAGACAAAAATCCTCACCACCAGGCTGATAGGCAACATCACTATAAAGGAAAGATTGAAATTGGCAACTGTTTCTTCATACTCGGATCCACAAAATCCCTCGGTATCAGCAGTTAGGAAATCAAGAGATGTATTGCACTGGGGAAGTCTGTAGTCAGGGACCTCTTCAAATTGTTCAGGAGTAATGACATTAGTTTGAGGCCTAAGGTGCATTTAATTCAGGCCATCTACTTTTTCAATCAAAGGCCATCTACTTTTTCAATCACTTGCTATGCACCTGAGAGCTGGACAATGAATGGATAAGGATGACAGAAGAATTGATGCCTTTGAGATGTGGTGTTAAAGAAGAATACTGAATATCCCATGGACTGTCAAAAGAGCAAACAAATATGTCTTGGAGAAAGGGCAGCCTGAGTGTTCCCCAGAAACAATGATGACAAAGCTTCATCTCACGTACTTTGGGCATCCTGTTAGGTGAGGTTATTCCTTGGAAAGGGAAATTATGCTTGGAAAGGTGGAGAGACAGTGAAAGAGAGGAAGATCCCCCAGCCATGGATTCAAGTGCATCAGAAGTTGTGAGGATGACACAGGATAGGGTCACTATGAGTCATACTCGACTCGATGACACACGACAACTGACAGCTGAAACCCACTCAGTGGTACTATGGAAGAAAAGACCTGGCAATCTGCTGCATATGTTAAAGTTCCAGGACATATAGGCTTGGGATAAGCTGGAGTTAATCAACTCCAATAAACAACGACAAATATTATATCAAGGTAGGAAAGGGCTTTCCCAGGATGACTCTAAAGCCAGAAATCATGAGAGGGTTTGATTATGTAAAAATATTAATAAGATCAAAACAGTAACAAAAACATATACTCAGGTTTCGCTCTGGAATTTATCAGTCTTTGGTCCTTTACCAAAGATGTCCGGAGTTGGAGCTATTATGAGTTAAACGGCACAAAACAGTAACAAAAACAAAATAAAAGAACCAAAGACATTACAAATAAAAAAATAGGGAACATAAACAGGAAACTTTAAAAGTCACTGTTTGGAGTCAGTTTAATATTGAAAAAGGAATGTAAGCAAAAAGAAATGAAAAATAATTTCTCACCAATCAGTCTGTTTTAAAAGAATGACAAAATGCATTGTTAGCCAGGATGTGAGAAAATGGGCTTTCTCATACAGAGCTGTTGGGAATGTGAATTTCTAAGTCTTGGGGAAAATCGTATCAAAATTTTAAATAAACATATCCTTATACATCATAAATGTATAAATACTTTCAAAAACGTATTCTAAAGAGAGAATCAGATATGCAAAGATGATTAATGCCACTTTGTTTATAAAGAAACATTGAAGGTAGTAGCTTCAACAGGTGAGTGCTTAAATATAGTATAGTCCTATCCAATATGAATTTCAAAACCATCTCAGGAACAGGTTTAAAGCCTTGGACATTAATGAGCGAAGACCAGATGAGCTGTGGGAGGATATAAAAAATATCATCCAGGAAGAGTGCAAAAGGTCATACAAAGACAGAGGAGGAAGAAAAGACCAAGACAGATGTCAGAAAAAACTTTAAATATTGCACTGCAGTGCTGAGAAGCCAAAGCAAAGGGAAGAAATCAAGATATTATGGAGCTGAACAGAAGATTCTAGAGGGCAGTGCAGGAAGACAAAGTACTACAGTGAAATGTGCAAGGAGCTGGAGTCAGAAAATAAAAAGGGCCAAACTAGCTCAGCATTTCTTAAGCTAAAGGAACTGAAGAACAAATTCAAACCTTGAGTTGCAATACTTTAAGGATGCTTTGGGCAGAATATTAAATGATCCAGGAAGCATTAAAAGATGGCAAGAGTATACAGAGTCATTGTACCAAAAGTAATTGGTGGACAAAGAAGAATTTCATGAAACAATGTATGAGCAAGAGCCTGTGGTGATGAAGGAAGTTCAAATTGCTCTTAAAGAATTGGTAAAAAAGAGGGGAGCTCTGGTGGCCTAGTGGCAAGGAGCTGCAACTACAATCCTAGAGGCGCATGGTTCGAATCCACCAGATGCTCTGCCGGGGAAGGAGGGACAATCTCCTCCTGTACCAGTCAGATCTGATTTGACGGTACACGCACACAAAAATAATAAAATAAAAAAATAAAAATAAAAGAATTGGTAAAAAACAAGGCCCCAGGAATTGATGGCATACTGATTGACATATTTTATCAAACAGGCACTGCCCTGGATGTGCTTACCAAGCTGTGCCAAAAAATCTGGAGGATAACCACCTGGCTAACTGACTGGAAGAGATCTATATTTCTTCCCATTCCAAAAAGAGGTGATCCGACAGAGTGTGGAAATTATCGAACAGTATCACTGATATCACATGCGAGCAAGGTTCTGCTGAAGATTATCCAAAAACGATTGGAACAGCACAACAGAGAACTGCCTGACGTGCAGGCTGGATTTAGAAGAGGCTGTGGCACTAGGGATATTATAGCTAATATCAGATGCATCTTGGTTGAAAGCAGCGAGTACCAGAGGAATGTCTATATGTGTTTCATTGACTACGCAAAGGCATTTGACTGTGAATCACAGCAAACTGTGCCTAACTCTGAGAGGAACAGTAATTGCAGAACACTTAATTGTGCTTATGTGAAACCTATAGTTAGACCAGGAGGCAATCGTCAGAACAGAGCAAGGAACCACTGCATGGTTCAAAATTGGGAAGGGTGGGCGTCAAGGATGTGTCTGTCCTCTCTCTCCATATCTTTTCAGTCTATATGTGGAACAGATTATCTGGGAGGCTGGGTTCTATGAGGAGAAACGTGGCATCAAGACTGGAGAAAGACTCATCAACAATCTTTGTTATGCAGATGACATAACCCTGCTTCCTGAAACTGAGGAGGACCTGAAGCGCTTGCTGCAGAAGGTCAAGGACTGCAGCCTCCTATATGGATTGAAGCTCAACATCAAGAAAACAAAGATTCTCACCACTGGGCCTATTAGCAGCATCATAATAGATGGTGAAGAGATTGAGATTGTTGACAGCTTCAGGTTGCTTGGCTCTACAATCAACACTCTTGGTATCAGCAGACAGGAAATTAAAAGACAAATTGCATAGTGCAAGTCTGCTGTCAGAGACCTCTCCCAAGTACTGAAGAGCAACAATGTCAGTCTGGAGACTAAGGTGAACCTGATACAGGCCATGGTTATTGCAATTACTTGCTAAGTATAAGAGAGCTGGACAATGTCTAGGGATGATAGAAGGAGAGTTGATGCTTTTGAGCTATGGTGCTGGAGAAGAATAATGAATATACAATGGACTGCTAGGAGAACAAACAAGTTCATACTGGAGAGGGTGAAGCTAAGCTGTTCCTTGGAGGCAAGGATTCTGAAGCTTCGTCTGACATATTTTGGACATGTTCCAAGGCAGGATCAGTCCTTGGAGAGGGACATCTTGCTTGGGAGGATGGAGGGACAGCGCAGGAGAGGACTAAGATGGACTGATTCAGTCGCTGAGGTAATGGGGCTAGGTGTGTCAGAGAAAGAAAGATTGGCAAGGCATAGATCAGGGTTTAGGGCTGTTGTACACAGGTTCACTATAACATAACAACAACAACATCATCAAATAATGGAATACTATGCATACTGGAAAAGCTCTTTAGGGTTTAATGGAAAATGGCATATACTATTGACAGGAAAAAGTTACAATTTGCATCTGTAAAGCTTTTTTCTGCTACAAGGAGTCATAATAGCACAGTGGTTCAGTGGGTGGGTGCTAACCAAAAGGCTGACAATTCAAATCCACCAGCTGCTCCAAGGAAAAAAGATGTAGCCGTCTTGCTTCTGTAAAGATTACAGCCTTTTAAAAAAAAAAAGAAAAGAAAAAAAGAAAAGCCGTTCTCCAACCCTGGAACAAGTTTAGTCCCCCAACGCTTAAATTACAGCCAAACAATAGCTGGGTTTATCAGGTGAACAGTAACATCAGGGAAGCACTGCTCCTCATAACAACCAACCATATAAGATCAAGAGGGAAACATCTGCCCTGGAATAAAGCAGGAAGGAGTGGGATAGAAGGATTACTGGAATCTAGAAGTGGAAAGAATATGGTTACATTGTGAATACTGTAATGTTATCATAAAACAATGTGTATGAAAGGTTGAATGGAAAACTAATTAGTTTTGTAAACTTTTATGGAAATCACATTAAAACCAGGGACAAAAGCAAAACATTATAAGGATGTTTATCAATGTTTTTAACTATAGTTATTTCTGGGTGGAAATAACTCCAGTCGCTTGCGACTCATAGCGACCCTATGTACAACAGCCCTAAACCCTGCTCTATCCTGTGCCAATAGCACTGCTTCTGACACACCCATCCCGATTACCCCAGTCACTGAATCAATCCACCTCATAGAGGGTGTTCCCCTCTTGCACCGTCCCTCTCCAAGGACCTGTCCCTCCTTACAACAGTACATCAGACAAAGCCCCAGATGGTGGTAGAACTGAGGTAATCTTTATTATTATACTCTTCTTTATTATCTATGTTTTTGTAATATGTATTAAATGTTATAATCAGATACACTATTTCCTAGGTTCACAGCGAACTTAATTCTGAAACGTAGAAGGCCAATTTCTTCATGATACCTGATCAATATCTGATTCCATAAACATTCACAGGACTTCATCTCTCCAGATACAAGGATGTGCACCTCCCTTTGGAGGGCCCTCTGCATCGTGTCACCATATAATATTTGTTAACGTTATCAGTGAGTCTTAACTTCTTTTTTTAATCCCAGAACCCCTTAAGAATCTGATGAAAGCTACTAGAGTTCCTGTTTCCAGAAAAATGTACATACTCACATTTGCAGATTTACGTTTATTTTCCCATGGATTCCAGGTTAAGAACATTTCCTCTATATGCTTAACTGAGGTATTAGGCACTATGCTATGTGCTTTACATGCATTACTGCACTCAAAGCTCGTCTGTGTGAAGTAAGAACTATTATTTCCATTACAAATAAGGAAACAGATTGTGAGTGACACTCAAAGCTCACCTGTGTGAAATAGAAAATATTTCTATTAAAAATAAGGAAACACATTGAGGGTGACAGTACTATTTTCTGCCTCTCTCCACCACCCCACCCCAGACTTCAACTCTCAACTTTAAATAGTTCTTCCTGAATAATTTTCGAACTACACACTACACTCACCAAGCTCGGAGGTATCCTCTTTCTGACAACAAATCACCCATGTACCTGTTTCTGGCTGTGTGTCCTCACTGCTGTGCATCTACATCATTATCTAATTGCTGAGCCTCTCTGATGTTAACTTCCAATCTGCCCAAACTTCTGCTTACTATCTTCTAATTCGGTTCTGTGAGGTAAGAGTTTTTATTACAATTTACAGACAAGGAATGTGAGGATCAGCACCAGTCTTATCCAGCCTCAACGATACCTTGTTCTTTTACTGGCAAAGTGCCTCCGGACCTGATGCCACACCCAACAAGGAGGAGGTGAGTTTGAGGCGGGGTGGGGGTGGGGCGATAGGGAGAAAGGCTTTAGAAAAGAACCTTAGAGATCAGTTTTAGCTAAGGAACCCGTGGCTCAGAAAGGGAAAACCTGCATAGGTCCTGGTGTGTCCTCTCACCTATGCATCCCAACTATGCCCACTGATAGAACCAGGCAGAAGCCGAGCAAAGTTCTGAAAAGTCTGAATGGAACTAGAAAATAATGGAGATACTCTCCAGCTCGGTGATTAAGCAACAAGAGAGGAGCAAAGGCCACTGGCTTGTTTCCCAGTCTACAAGGAGGTCACACAGAAAAAGTATAGTCCTCACCTTGGACGGTCAGCTAAGGGATTGGAAAAAAAAAAAAAAAGCAGTGGCAATTGGCGAAGCTCTCCCTTTGGCTCAAACGCCTCCGCTGAGACCCTCCATCCCTCAGAACACATCCAGACAAACAGCTGGAGAAGCACAAGAGGGGTGCTCTCAGTCTCTCCGATACCTGACACAGGAATCCGGGTATTCCTTGCAGTCAACATTGCACATGAAGCGCTCCCAGTGTAGCCAGCCCATGGTAGGGGTCATCGCCAAGCCATTATTCAAAGCCCTGACTCCAGGGATGCCCCAGAGAACTAGGCCTAAGACATTAAGTGGAAGTACGCAGCTCAACCGCTGAGCTCGGTTATACAACTTTTCTCTCACCATAGTAATCAAATGCTGATTTCCGCGTGTAACCTGGGCTTTTAAGTTTAACCTGAGAGGCGGGCCAATCACCGATGAGTTATTAGATAATGACGTAATTGTTTCTCAGGCAACTAGAACGGTTATCCCCAAAGATGGACCAATGATCATTCACGTAACATGTATCTCAGCCAGCCACAGGCTTTCTTTCTTAATATAGGCCTGCCCTCTCGCTGTACCAGAAGGAAGTGAGGTACTTTAGTAATCTCGAATTGAAACTGTGCGTTGCTCACGTGACAAAGATCTCACATGACGTAGGCGCTCACGTGATCAATCGCTTACGTGAGCAGAAGTAGTTCTGATCGTCTCCTACTGTCTCGCAATAGCCATTTGAAGGAAGAACAAGGAGCTACCCTGATATCATTAGAGGTTAGTGTGGGAACTGGGGACCCGCGGGTGGTGATGATGGAGAGCAAAGCGGGACCCGGCGGCCACCTCAAACCTTTTCGTTCTCTGCCTCCAACCCCCCCCCCACCACCACCCCACCTCCCATCTCAGTGCCGGGAAGCCGCCTTTGCTGCGCTTGGTGGGGAAATGGTGGACGTTCGTGACTGTATGTGTTTTTATATATTTAGCTGCCTGGGCGGGTATCAGGGGACCACTATTAAGAGCTATAAAGGGAAAATTACTTGAAAACTACGACCTCGAATTAAAAACAAAAACCTTTTTTGGAGACCAGTGGACTGATTACTGTTCTACCAAATTCAAGCACTCAGTCTTCACTGTCTTGATTGTCTGTCTGTAGAGGCAGGCACCAAATGAATGTATCTGTAGAGTCACATCTAGGCAATGATGCCTATCTGACACACAGAGACGCCCAGTAAATGCTTTTACGGACTTGAATATTTAAATAACGTTTCTTTTTTTTGCTTGTAACAGTAATCTATACGTTCATTGACCAACATTTGATAAATAATAATTTTTGGAAAAATATACGTAATTCACCACCTGGAGAAAACTACTCAATATTATGGGGTATTTTTTTTTTTTCTAAGAGGAAAATAGGCGTATTCCACATGGCATTGTAATTTTTTTAAAGTGCATGTGTAACTCACATATAAATACACAATTCTTAACTTTCAAATGGAATCCTAGTTCCCACTTTTGGTAATAGTATTCTATTGATCTTAGAAGATGTAATAATGAAGTGGGACCTCTTTGTCACAATATGTCTGTTTAGGCATAAAGTATTTCAGGGATGCTAAATGGAATGGTTAATCTCAGGGATAATACTAGCAAAAAGCAGTCATTTCACTAAGACCTAAGGATGGTTTATAGAAAATTTGTCACTGCTGATGCAGTATGCCAGGCACATAATAGGCTATTAGTACATGTTTATTGAATTTAATCGTCAATGTAATTTTATGGCAGTTATACTTTGTACTTTCTTCGAAGAAACCCAGTGTTTCCTGACCATGGTAGCTAGATCATGCATACCAAAAAAACTAGAAAATGTTGTCAAATCTGCTGTACCATATGCCAGGAGAGCAAACATTTTCCTCCCCCCCCCAAAAAAAAGTACTGATTCACTCTGTTAAAAATTTAAGGAAATACCCCAAAATTAAGAACCTAAAAATTGAAAAATCCACAAGATTACAACTTAGAGTAACCCCATCAACATTTGACAAGTTTCTTAAGTATGTGCTATTTCTAACCTTTCTTAAAATTCTGATTACAGTGATTTTCAAGGTTTTAAGAAATATAAAACTCTATAGGGTAAAAAGTGAAAATCCCCTTTCACTTCTAACCTCCAGTTTGTTCATTCCTTAAAAAAAACTTTGTATTTAAAAAAAAACCAACTTTGTATTTTATTCTTCCATATCTTTTTGTATACATTGAGATATGCATATAAATGTGTTTCGGTTTTAATATAAGTAGTATCATATTGTACATATTCTTTCATTTAATATATTTTGGAAATCTTTCTAATTGAGGGCAGATGAATCTCTCTTTTTCCAATCATTCATTGTACTTTTCTCCCTGCCCACCCCCTTCTCCCCAATTCACCATTCTCCTTGAAAAGTAAAAGAAAAATGAACTGTATAGCATTTCATGCTAAGAATAAAGTGTAATTTGTTCAGTCATCCCCAAAGTGAGGAATATTTATTTAGATTTCTAATTTTTTCTAATTACTGACTGCTGTAGAAAACATTTGTGTTTGTTAACTAGATTTCTAGAACTAGAATTGAAGGATTAAAGAGTATGTGAATCTTTTTTACATAGTTGAAATTATAAAGTAGCTATGATCTTGAGTCACTTTTTATAGATTAATAGTCACTTAAGACTAAGCCATTTTCATGTTTCTGAGTGTTTTGAGTGTTTACTGTTCAATATGAAATATTTTTAAAGATTATATAGATCTATAAAATTTTATCTGAATTTCAAATTATCTCTTTAGGGCACATAACCTGTTTATTTTGTCAGAAGATGTGTATGTTACTAAAAATTACTTCCTGGAAATGTATCAGTTTGCACTTTTTAGAAATAGTAGATCACATTGATTCATTTCACATTTAGTTTTGGACCACCTGGTTGGATTAAAATGATAATTAGTTCATGTTTTAAGTTGGATTTTGGTCATTGGTCAAGTTTGACCATTTCTCAAGTGCTTTTAGTCATTTCTATTTCCCAAACTTCTTCCCTTCTTTACTCCTTCTCCCTTTATATCTAATCTGTTATCACATCTGGGAGATGCCACTTATTTGATGTGCTTGGATCAGATCTTGCCTCTTTACTCTCTTGTCTTAGCTGAAACCCTTAATACATCTCCAGATTCTAACTAATCTGGCTAGTTTCATCCCAACCCCCTTCTGTTTGAGTGCCACACTGTTACCAGGGTGATCTGTCTGAAAGGGTTCTGATGACATCACTCCCCTCACTGCTCAGTTTAAATCCCTTAAAAAGCCTTTACCATTTGTTTTTCAAATAAGGCTTTCTGTATCAGATTTCTGCCTTGCCAGCCTTACTCTCTCTTGCCTTACCCCCTCCTAATCTATGCTCCATCATATTTTTAAAAAAATTTTTTGTGTACCCTTGAAATTGTCTGTTTAATTTAACCACCCTGTCTCCAACCAATGCGGTTGACCAACTAGTCTCTTCTTGCTAACTACTGTTATACCCTGCACAGAGTTCAGGGCAGGTATAATATATTTTTGTTCTTCTGTTTTAGATGACAATACCCAGTTCCACTATAGGACCGTAAGTCCAAGGCTTATTGATACTTGTACACCAGAGCTAACTGCTCAATCTGACAACCAGAAAATAAATAAGTTTTAAAAAAGCTGTCAGTGTAAGAAAGTCTGTTTTTTTTAAAAAAAAATGCGATTTTAGTAAAAACTAACATTCATACACATTTTTTATAACATTAATTAAAATATCTACAATGTGATTACAGTCTTCCCACTTAAGCCCTGTAGTTCTCATTTCCATTATTCCTTCTGTCCTACCCCTTCCTGCCTTCTGTCACCTTACAGACTTACCTGTTTGAGTCGTGAGGGTGAGTGTTATTCCACGTTACAGTTAAATTTTGGGTTAATAATTTACTTTTTAAATTTGCTATAGTGTGAATATTTCTTCATGACAGTAGTCTTCATTTTTTTTCCCCAGCCACACTGAAATTCCACTGAGCCTAGCTTGCCACGAAGATCCCATCAGTCACCATGATGCTGAGCACCGAAGGCAGGGAGGGGTTCGTGGTGAAGGTGAGGGGCCTACCCTGGTCCTGCTCAGCTGATGAAGTAATGCGTTTCTTCTCTGATTGCAAAATCCAAAATGGTACATCAGGTATTCGTTTCATCTATACCAGAGAAGGCAGACCAAGCGGTGAAGCGTTTGTCGAACTTGAATCTGAAGATGAAGTGAAATTGGCTTTGAAGAAGGACAGAGAAACCATGGGACACAGATATGTGGAAGTATTCAAGTCCAACAGTGTTGAAATGGATTGGGTGTTAAAGCATACTGGCCCGAATAGCCCTGATACTGCCAACGATGGCTTCGTCCGTCTTAGAGGACTCCCATTTGGCTGTAGCAAGGAAGAAATTGTTCAGTTTTTTTCAGGGTTGGAAATTGTGCCAAATGGGATGACATTGCCAGTGGACTTTCAGGGGCGGAGCACAGGGGAGGCCTTTGTGCAGTTTGCTTCTCAAGAGATAGCGGAAAAGGCCTTAAAGAAACACAAGGAAAGAATAGGGCACAGGTACATTGAAATCTTCAAGAGTAGCCGAGCTGAAGTCCGAACCCACTATGATCCTCCTCGAAAGCTCATGGCTATGCAGCGGCCAGGTCCCTATGATAGGCCAGGGGCTGGCAGAGGGTATAATAGCATAGGCAGAGGAGCTGGATTTGAAAGGATGAGGCGAGGTGCCTATGGTGGAGGGTATGGAGGGTATGATGACTATGGTGGCTATAATGATGGGTACGGCTTTGGGTCTGATCGATTTGGAAGAGATCTCAATTACTGTTTTTCGGGAATGTCTGATCATAGATATGGAGATGGTGGGTCCAGTTTCCAGAGTACCACAGGGCACTGTGTACACATGAGAGGATTGCCTTACAGAGCCACTGAGAATGATATTTACAATTTTTTCTCCCCTCTTAACCCCATGAGAGTACACATTGAAATTGGACCCGATGGCAGAGTTACTGGTGAGGCAGATGTTGAATTTGCTACTCATGAAGATGCTGTGGCAGCTATGGCCAAAGATAAAGCTAATATGCAACACAGATATGTGGAACTCTTCTTGAATTCTACAGCAGGAACAAGTGGGGGAGCTTATGATCACAGCTACGTAGAGCTCTTTTTGAATTCTACAGCAGGGGCGAGTGGTGGTGCTTATGGGAGCCAAATGATGGGAGGCATGGGTTTATCCAACCAGTCTAGTTATGGAGGTCCTGCCAGCCAGCAGCTAAGTGGTGGCTATGGAGGTGGCTATGGAGGGCAGAGCAGTATGAGTGGTTATGACCAA